AGTGAGTTTGGTTTGGTTTAACCAGATAGTTTGAAAAAAATTGGCATTGTCAATGGTGAGTTGAATTAGTGCCTTTTATCTTTCGGCTCATTATGTTAATTCCATAGTTTTCATTGTGAGTGGCACACTATGTCTTATTTTTAGGAAACTGTTAAAAACAGTCATAGATGCTTTACTGTAAAAGCGAGAGACAGGTCTTGAGTGAGACAGGGTGGGTGGAAGTTGGTGATGAATGTGGCTTACAGGTGCTCGGCAGGTTGAGGAAGAGAAGCCCCTTGACCATGGGTTCTCCTTGTAATGGTCTCCCAAAAACATCTCAGACTATTCCACAGAACTTATGGCTCCTTTGAGGTTTTTCCAAGTTCTGTACACATTTGATTTGCGTTTCTTCCCTTTTTTCCTTCTCTGCAAATAACCATTTTAAACAGTTTCTATGTTCAAATACAGAACTCATTGTCATCGTCAATTTTGACTCTGCATGGTATAGAACTACTTCTATGAGTTTCACAGGCTGTAAATTTTGACTGGAGCAGAAAAGAAAGCCTCATCTTTTATCCTGCAAAGAGGATGGTGTGTTCAAACTGCAGACCTTGTGGTTAGCAGGCCAGTGTTTAACCCACCATACCACTAGGACTCTTCAAAAAGTTAATGGGAAAATGGACTTAAAAGATAGTGGATTTTTTTTCTGTGAACTTTGTGAAGCCCCCCCCATACATTATAGTCCCTTGATTGACTTTAGAAAAGTTCATTACGTCCTAAGAATTTGGAACTATTCCATATTTATGTACTTACTGGTGACACAAGATTTTGTTGAATTCAGTAAATTAAATAGGCAAATGAAAGGGAACTTATTTCCAGTATGGAGTATAGAGTGAGCAGAGTTAACTGATTGAATATTAAATGGGATATTCAGAAAATGGGGTCGTCCAGTATGTATAAATTATAGAAGATAGGTCAAGAAAGATGCTAAGAGGAGATTTGGGTTAAGGCTTTAACCAGTCTTTGCTCTGTTCACATTTTTGCATCTTATTTGTTTAATGGTCTTTCTTGTCTTGTGTTCACTTGTCCCTTCAAGGATATAGGCATCCAAGGTTTTAGATTTTGGGTAGTTCCTTCCTTTTGCCCATGACCACCTTAACCTCACATTGTGCTTCCCTACCCCTTCAGCTAAACCTATTTTGATTTTATATACTCAGATGCTCAGTCTTCGTCTTGTAGGACAGGACTGGGTTTCTTCTGCTTAGCTAACTTCGATGCTTCCTTTATATGCCTTCCATTTCTGTCCATCTTGCCAGACATGAATGTTCACTGCATGTCCTCCACTATACTTCCCTTCCCAGTCTGTTTTCTTATTGTTGAACACTACTGAAGAAAGTCCTAAAACAATTAAAATCTTTATCACCACACGTTATGTTATCTCCTTTCAATTTATTGATTTCCCTATGATGTGCTTTTAAGTACTTAGCCTCATCTTATCCTCTGCAGACAGCTAGCCTGTATTTTGAGAAGATGAACTCCATCTAGTGCCAGCCTCTTCTGTTGTTTTACTGCTGTGTGTGTGTGTGTGTGTGTGTGTGTGTGTGTGTGTGTTTCCTTAGCCATTCTGTCTTACCATGTGGCTAAGTATGATGAAAATCTTTCTTTGATAAAATTATTATTATCCTACTTAGTCCTTTCTTAGGTGTACTGGGCTGCATATTGGGCTGATAACCACAGGTCAGTAATTAAGAATCATCATCCACTCCCTGGAAGAAAGATGAGGCTTCCTACCCCATAAAGAGTTACAGCCTTGAAAACCCCCTGAGCAATTCTACCCTGCCCTGTAGGCTGGCTGTGTATTGGAATCAACTCTATGGCTTTGAATTGTTTTTCTCTCTCTCTTTTTTTTTCAGCTAATGCATAATTGGGGGATGGGTTACAGATGGTATTCCTGGAACTTAAAAATATAAGGACATTTTAAGAATGATAGTAAAAATGAACCTTAAGTAGGAAGCTAAAAACTTTCATCCAAGTCAGAGATTAGGGGATTGATTGCCTTATGTGACTTCTATTTATGGACAGGTTTTTTCTTAATCATTTTACTGGGGGCTCATACAACTCTTATCACAATCCATACATACCTCAATTGTATAAAGCACATTTGTACATTTGTTACCCTCTTCATTCTCAAAGCATTTGCTCTCCACGTAAGCCCCTGGCATCAGGTCCTCATTTTTCCCCTCCCTCCCCGCTCCCCACTCCCTCATGAGCCCTTGATAATTTGTAAATTATTATTTTGTCATATCTTACACTGTCCGACGTCTCCCTTCATCCACTTTTCTGTTGTGGACAGATGTTTTTATGGTAGAAATGAAAAGAATAACATCCCAAAAAGGATGCTTACTTTGGGGGCCCAGGAAAAGATAGTGTTAATCTTTTAAAAACTGTCCTGATGGAAAAGCACCCTACCTGCAGCCGGCATGGCCCTACTGTGAAGATGGATTCATTAGTCATCTCAGCCTTTAAAGCGGCCTTTGATTTGATCCTATGCTCCCCAAGAATGCTGCTGATTTAATTCATCCTCCTGGTTTACTTTTCCTCAGGGCGAAACTGATTGTCAAGTGGTGTTTGAACAGTTGCTACTCCTTAAGCATCTGTGTCAGTTCTGTGAGTCGCCTTCTCTGGTTCCCTGTAAACACTGAGATGTGCACAGGTTAGGTGCCATGGAGTTGGACCCGACTCGTAGTATGCAACAGAGCAAATCTCCTGGTCCTGCACCAGCTCCACAATCCCTCTTTGTTTGAAACTATGGTTGCAGTCTTTCTTGTTGAGGTCTTCCTCTTTTTCTCTGCTCCTCTGCTGTTCCAAGCATGGTGCCCATCTCCAGGAACTAGTCTCTACTAACAACATGTCCAAAGTATGTGCAACTAAGATTTACCATCTTTGCCTTTTAGGAGCTTTCTGACCTTATTTCTTCCAAGCAAAGATACCTTTTTAGCAGTCCGTGGTACTTAAAATATTCTTTACCAACACCATAATTCAAATGCATAGATTCTTCTGTAGTATTCCATAGTTCCCGTATTCAGTGTCTAGTTTTCACAGGCATATGGGGCCATTGAGAATACCATGGCTTGAGTCAGATGCACCCTAACGTCCCAAAAAATGTCCTGCCATTGAGTAGATTCCAACTCATAGTGACCTTTTGGGACAGGATAGAACTGCCCTTGTGAGCTTATGAGACAATAACTCTTTACAGAAGTAGAAAGCCTATCTTTTCTCCCAAGGAGCGGCTACTGGTTTAGAACTGCAGAGCTTCCACGATGCTCCCACCTTAGTCCTCAAAGTAATAGCCACTTAGCTTTTCAACACTTTCCAGAGGTCTTGTGCACCAGATTTACCCAATGCAGATTCATTGTTCTCTTGACTGCTGCTTCTATGAGCATTGATTGCAGATACAAGAAAGACAAAATCCTGACAACTTCAGCGTATGTTACCTATTGGCCCAGGAGTAAGGATTTTGGTCTCCCTTGAGTTGTAATTCATAACTGAAGGCAACAATCCTTGCTCTTCATCAGTAAATGCTTCACGTCCTCTTCACTTTTTCAGCAAGCAAGGTTATGTAATCTGCGTATCTCAGGTTCTTAGGAAGTCTTCCTGCAATCCTAATGCTGCATTCTTCTTCATATAAGCCAGCTTCTCTGATTTGTTCAACATACAGATTGAGTAACTATAGTGATAGCATACAACCTTGATGCACACCTCCTGATTTTAAAGCATCCATCATTCCCTTGTTCTGTTAGCACAGCTGCCTCTTTCCATAGCAGCATAATGAAGTGTTCTGGAATTCCCATTCTTTTCAAGGTTTGGTTGTTTTCACAGTCAAATGCCTTTCCATATTCAATAAAACAAACAAACAACTTTCTGGTATTCTCTGCTTTGAGCCAAAATTCATCAGACATCAGCAATGACCTCCCTTCCACGCCCTCTTTTGAATTCAGCCTGAACCTCAGGCAGCTAGCTCCCTGTCAATGTATTGCTATAGCCATTGTAGGGCGATCTTGAGGAAAATTTTACTTGCATGTGATGTCAATAATTTGAACATTCTGTGAACATTCTTCTGTTGGCTCACCTTTCTTTGGAATGGATACAAATATAGATCTCTTCTGGTCATTTGTCTTCCAAATTTCTTGATATAGTTGAGTTACTACTTCCAGTGCTCTTTCAGCTTAGTAGTACATTTTGATTGGCACTCCCATCAATTCCTGAGCTCTTGTTCTTGGCTAATGCTGCCGGTGCAGCTTGGACTTACTCATTTAGTTCTTAAGCATACTGCTTAGTTCTTAAGCTTATTGTCAATCTATATGGGGAAAGGTGGTCATGTCACTTTTACACTCAGCTAGTTATAAACTGTATACTCTTTCATCAAAGAAAATAATTATTAATTGGATTATTGGGTTGCATGGAATTTTCTATTCCTTTGACTTACTCTATCAGTACCATTTTGGTGTTAGGAATTCCCATATAAAGCAAATGGCAATTATTTGAAAAGCCTCTACCATCTGAATTAGAAAGTCTTTTTCATCAAGACATCCAAACTCTGGGGTGTAACAATCATCAATGTTTATTATATAGTTAATGAATGTTAATCAAACATTTATTTAGTTAGGTACTTTGTTGTAGGAAGAGTTGTAGTCACTAGGAATGTAAAGATGTTTAACATGGAGTCTGTATACTTAAGGGTACCTCACTCGGTGTATATGAGTGGGCACTGTAAATGTTAAATTTGAAATGTATAAAATCAGAAAAGAGTGATTCATTCCTCTTTGAAAAAGATTAATAGGAATTCCCTGAATGAAGAATTAGGATGATTACAGCGTAGGGACAAACCTCAAGTAGAGGTAGAAAAATGTTTACTGTGAGTATATGTGGCAGTTTCTGTGGGGAGACTGGCTTGACCACTTTAGATAGCTGATGGTTTATAATTAATAAGTCACTGGGTTTTTCCACCCCATCTCTTTCAGAGCACAAAGTTATCATTGTTGGGCTGGATAATGCAGGGAAAACTACTATTCTTTACCAATTGTAAGTATTAACTATTTTTTAAAATTATTTTATTGTTTCTTGTTACTTTTCCTGCCTAGAAGGTCATTGATTAAGGGAAGGCGATAAATAAATGGAATCGTATGTTATCCTGTAAGAAAACAGGCTGGCCATAAACTAGGAACCAAGTTTAAGCAACCGTTGCTGCATAGCTAAAAGTGTACGTGATGTGGAGCATGGCATTCAGCTGCTTTTACAACCCTTCTTTCTGCTTTCTCCTGTTGAGTTAGTTGAAAAGGAAGTGTACGATATATATATTTTTAAGTCATAATTGCCTTTTGATTGAAACATTGTTCTAACAAGACACCTTCCTGGCTAATTGTAACATGAATTTTTTTTCCAGTTCTATGAATGAAGTTGTGCATACATCTCCTACAATAGGAAGTAATGTAGAAGAGATAGTGGTTAATAATACGCGTTTCCTAATGTGGGATATTGGTGGCCAAGAATCTCTTCGTTCTTCCTGGAACACTTACTATACGAACACTGAGGTAATGTTTCCTAATATACCAAGACTTCTATGAGCAGACTGTTTGCAAAATTAACATCTAGTCTGCTAGATATTAACCCTTATAGCAGACTACTCTAAGTAGGGCTCAAACATGGTAGCATATTTGATTCCTTATCTCAGAGTGTTTCCTATTTTCCCATTGATTGAACATTTATTTTTATGTAGAATTGGTCATGGATTTTGTGGTTCTACCACACATCTTAAAGAGAGTTGTTTTATAATGAATTCATTTCACAGTTTATAATTTTATTTAATACTTTAAATGGGGGAAATCCTAGTTTAGTGAGAAAGCTGTGGTAACTTGAATCCTGGCCAAAGTTTTGTGGTATATTTTCTTCTGTGAGCTATAAGTACACATTGAAGAGTTCATGTTCTTTTGATTTTAAAGCAATTTAGACATAATCAAATAGTTTGCTTTACATGTTACTTCCCCTAAAGAACATTTCAGGTCCCTGGCATTTGAGAGCTTCACTTTATATACTTTATGAATTGAAAGGCTATGGCAATTGTTTTATAATGTTATTAGATATAATATTCCCATAAAGGTATATGAAGACATCTATTATGTATCTTTCCAATGACTTGATATCTGAACACTGTGTTAAACATTTGATCGTCATTTTTTTAAAGAGAATAGACATATATGGTTACTGCTCCTTTGTATAATGCTGCCGTATGTAATTTTTACAGGGGTCAAATTAACTTTATGAAAATATCTTAAAATAGGGTGGGTTTTACGGTAACAGAACCACCTAACACTAAGTTATAAAATGAGAAAAGATGGACGGGAGTGATTCTCTTATCCCATCTCTCTTAATGAAATCTGAAGATCAAAAGACCTTGAAAAATCGTAATAGTTTATTTGGAAGTTCAAAAGTAGATTTGAAAAATAAGCAGTGCATGTGTAGAACAGACAGTCAACAAACACTTGGGAATGCAAATGCCAGTGTAAATGAGTACGTGAACTTCATAGCTCCTCCTGTTACCCTGGGGCTCTCTGGTGCTGGTGAGGTTAAAGAAGCGAGAATGACTCAGTCCTGCCCAGCTCCTTTGTCTTTTACATCATCCTCTGGGACCAGCCTCATTGTCCATTTAGGAAAGGACTGGCTTTACATGTATAGATCTGATTTTTTGATTTGCTATAAAAAATGATTTATTTTACTACCACCTTAATTGATTCCTATATACAATACCTTTTTAAGTTTTAAAATTAATGTTAATAAACATATACCAAAAATTACTTGGATTTAGGATCGTAGTATATGAAGGGATTCCAAAAAGTTTATGGAAAAATAACACTGAAAGATAATATAATTCTTCCATCAACTTTTTTAAGGCATCTCCTATTTTTATTTGTGAATTTGTAATAAAAATTGATGGATACAGACTCATTAATTTATTCAAGATATTAAGTTAGAAAATTAAAGTCTGTTATACATTGTTTAAAATCCTAGCATCATATTTTCTAAAAACATTAATATACTGGAACTAGCTATGCATCTAATTTTCAGATCTATCAGTATGAAGTAAATCTTTTTCGTTTCCTAATGATATCTTAAGATTCAAATTTGGGGGCATTTGTAGCCTTTTACATAAGTACCTTATAAATTTTACATATATCAAAAATTATGTAATGACTAATAATTGTTTTTGCAATTATTTTAGTTTGTAATAGTTGTTGTGGACAGTACAGACAGAGAAAGGATTTCTGTCACTAGAGAAGAACTCTATAAAATGTTAGCACATGAGGTAAGTCATATTTTTGCATAGAGGTCTGGGGATATGTGTATTACATTTGCTTTTTATATTTTCTCATAATTACACACACACACACACACACATATGGAGCCCTGGTGGTGTAGTAGGTTAGGCTTTAGGGTGCCAACTACAAAGCAGTTTGAAACTACCATCATTGTGTGGTTGAAATATGAGATTTTCTACTCCCATAAAGAGGTACTGTCTCAGGAACCCCCAGGGCACTTTACCCTGTTCCATAGGGTTGCTATGAGTTGCAATCGACTCCCTGACAGAGTTTGGTTTAGCCACACCTACTTTGTTATTTTGACACTTATCCAATTGGAGGTTTAGTTGAAAGCAGCAGTATGATTATGGAAATTTACTTCAGTATTCTTATATTACATTTGATCTAGTTTTCCTGGGCAAAAGAATTCCTAAATGTGGCTTTCATTTTCTATTTTTAATAGAATAATTATATAGAGGATCAACAGTGGATATGAGATTTTTTTAATCATTTTATTGGGGGTTAGTACAACTCTTATCACTATCCATCCATCCATCCATTGTGTCAAGCACATTTGTACATTTGTTGCCATCATCATTCTCAAAACATTTGCTTTCTACTTGAG